AAAAAACAAACAAAAAACCCCAAATCCCCAAAGCATGAAAATACTCCACCCTAAATAATGCAAATAGTAGCTATAAACAACTAAGTGTTGGTCCATGAATTGCTTCAAATAGGTACTTAAAAAAATGTGGCTAAGGGAGATCTCTTTATTTGATCTAATTTTAGAGGCCTAAAAACAAAGTTAAAGTTACAAAAATACACATTACCCATAAATAGGAAATGTACTTTCCCTTCACTATAAAACTGGCACAATACTGTTCCATGATCTGGTCAAAGAAACGTGAAGACTCTGTTTGAAAGGATATGGTACAGTTGAGAGCCAAGTTACCATATAACTGGCATGTATTTTCACAATGAGTGTTTTAAGTTTCATATAGATATGGAGAAATTTGGGCACATATGCTCTCCCCTCATTTGGTCCGTAATAGGTCTACAGAACAACTTTGTTGGTTTCCACAAGCTTCTAAAAAGGAGCTTCTTCGGAGTGCTTTGAGTTGTTGCATCTTTTATTGTCTTGCTATTGTGGTATTATTTTTTAATTTTGTTATGGGGTTTTGTTTATACAGTATTATATTGTTTTCTATGTGAGATGCTAAAAGTATTTTTTTATTGTGGCAGCAATAAAATAGGATTAATAATAGGACTCAGGCAGATGTCATGATCCAGGAATCAAATGATGACTGAGGTAAAGAAGCTATTTCAGCAGGACCTGTGGAATGTCAGCCTCAGGAGATGCAAAGTCAAAAAATCCCCTGATCCTACTTTTCCCTGAGCAGTATGGACAGTCAGATGATGATGTAAGGCCTCCCAGCCCCTTTATCCAGGAAGTAAAGGGGTGAACAGATTAGTGACATTCTATTAGGCTCCTTCAAGCAAGCAAAGGAACAAATCTCTTGATCAGTGACAGCTGGCTATATAGCCTGATTTAAGATGCAGCCATGACCCATGATTCCTTGTTGGAAACAACCACCTGATCTTTCAGTCTTGCATACTGTTTGTGTCTGACAACCTTGACCTATAATAGAGATCTCCAAACTTGGCAACTTTGAGACTTGTGGACTTCATGGCTGGCTGAGGAATTCTGGCAGTTGAAGTCCACAAGTCTTAAAGTTGCCAAGTTTGGAGACCTCTGACCTATATCTTGGAACTTCTGTTAAATAAAATCCATTCAGGTAAGTTTCTTTTAGAGACTCTGCTTTGGCTTGCAATCCTTGTCTGCTGGCATATTTTGGCCTTAACTAAACTGCTAGAAAATGAGTGTATACTTTAATTGGAACATGAATCAGGATACCTGGGAGATTTTAATGGCAGGTTGTACAACCTGGCTAGTATTACACAAATATGGTGTGGGACAAGTTAAAATTCAACAGATTCATTCTTAAGAACATGTAGCATTTGTTATTAATCTGTTTATACCTTTTGAAATTTCTTGATTTACATATAATTAATGTAGTTAAGTTCGTTAATACAATTCAAAGTGCATAGGTGGCTGGTTGAAGAATTTTGATGCTGGTGTGAAATAAAAATGCTCCATTTACATGACACCATTTACATTATTATGAGTTGGAGGGTTGGTCACATTATGTCACCAACAATCCTTCTGTTGTGTTTTGTATTTTATTTCATGGAAAAAGGCAAAGAGAGTAAGAATAGGGACAAAGATACCTGTGACAAATAACAGCAAGTATGCACTGGGAAAGTATTGAGAAATTAGAAAGTAACCCTTCAAGCTATATTATGAGAGATATTTAATCCCATGCTTAGTATTCCTTCTTAAAATATTTTCTTTGAAAAAAATATTTGCCAGCTCAGTCATTGTCCGTAGTTCTATAGATTGAATGATCAGTTTGGGTGTTCTCTAACAGTAGGTATTAGAGGAGTTTTCATTGTGTGGGTGTTCATTTCCATTTTCTGATGTCCAGAGCAGAATAAGTATATACATGTCTTCCAACAAAATGAATATCCATGCAAGTTTATCAAAAAGTACCTGACCATTCAACTTACTACTGCACAACCAACACAAGCTATTAAAAGACTAATAATACTGCCGTACACCAAAAACATCTCAAACAACCTAAAGACTATTGTAATCACACATCATCACTATAGTACACAGACAAACTCAAACCTTCCAAAATATTTTAAATAAACCAAAAGACAAAATCGGACAAATAATCAAGCAGTAAATAATAACCTAATCAATGAAATACTAAGGAGAAAAGAACGTCTCTAGTAACAAGGAAAGGACAAGCTACAATATATAAACAGAGAGCAAATTCCACTCCTTTTTAGCACTGAAAATGTTACTTCGTCTGCTAACAAAATGTTTGCAAAGAAACAACCAAGCTCAGAGAGCACTATGGACTCTACAAAGGGTACAAGCTTTGTTTGCCAGGAAGAGGAAAATAAGGCAGAGAACTGAATTTGCTTCCTGCAAGAAATCCAATAGTAATATGATTCTCCTAAAAATCTGATGGGGAAGAGTGCTAATGCTGTAAACCTTCATCTTATTTCAGTCTTTCTCACTCTGTATATAAACTATACCACAGAAATGTCGAAAACCTCAATGAATCCTTTCAGAAAATAAGCCTGGGTGAGCACAGGTACACTGAAAATCTTACCATTAAGAAGTGAAGTATATAAGCATAATCATCTGAAGATACTAAACATTTACTTCTGACAGATTGATCACACAACCAAAGTAGTGAAGAAAAATGCCACTGAAATTGAGAGAATTGTGTGGATATGGATGGCTTTATGTACTCTATGGGCACCTGCCTCTCATATGATTTCACAGATTAGTTTATATAAAACTGAAGACCAGCAAGATATTTTCAGTGCATATTTCTGAATTGAGTATAGATAAATTGCAAGATTAGATCCAGGAAAGGCAGTTATCTTAAGTTACTTAACATGGAATTACTGAAGAGGCTTTTGCATGGGTGAAGATAATAAATGGACTTGCCAAGGATTGAATTTACCTCTTAAGATGTGGCATCCAATTAAAAGGGAGCATCATAATTACTGGCTTCCTTTTAATATAACATGTAACAGAATACATCAGAGTGGCAATACACCACAGAAAACTAGTTTTTTTGTTTTTGTTTTTAAAATTCCAAGGTTTGCACAGCAGGAAACCTTGGCTATGACAGCCAAACACGGGAACTTATCTGATTTCTAATTTGCTCTAAACTCCTGATCTGTTGCCAGGTAGTTCTGAAGTTCCTTCCTGCTAGTTCAGTCCATAGTTGGCATTAGATAAAGTAAATATGCATTGCATTAACAAATCATCTTTGTCTCTGCCCTTCAGTTAAAAAATTACCATAGAAGGTGATATTATAGAAGAAATTTTGAACTAGATTGAAGAGCACTTGGACAATTTCATGCCTAAAACCAATATATCAACCCTAAAAGATTGCTTAATTGATCAATTGCTTAATCTATCGATTGATATGATCAATTGATATGATCAATTGATATGATCAATTGATATGGTAACATAAGATTGTGAAATTTAGACAATGCAGAAGTTAAAAGATGTATAGTTGATAGCATGAAATGACAAATGCTTAACATAGCATAAGGTAGCAAAAAAAAAATATTAAGTATCTAGGGCTGCCAAAAAACTGGAGTACATAGCACAGCTAAATAGGTTGCCTCATCGAAATGGAATGGGCTGGCCATATCATTTGATGAGCATATCAGTGCTGGAAAACAATAATCCATGATTAGATATGAGCTGACCTTAAGAAACATAGAAAATGTCCAAAGAAATACTGTGAAGTTGATATAATTCAATTAGAAAGTATTGTGAAGAAGCTGGAAAACAGATGAAGCCTTTATTCTGCAATGGGTTGATTGGGCTGATAATAAATCTTGTATGTGCATATGCATATGTGTGTGCATTCATAGGGTATGATGGTTCCACGGTTAAAAACACTGGACTTGTTGGCTGGAAAGTTGGCAGCCTCAATTTGAGACCCAAGCACTGCATGATGGGGTATGCTCCAGTACTTACCCTACCTAGCAGTTTGAAAGCATACAAATGTAAGTAGATAAATAGATACCACTTTGTTGGGAAGATAACAGAGTTCTGTGCACTCACATGACCACAGAAATGTCTTCTGACAATGCTGGATTGCAGAGTTTTAATTGTATAAGCTGATCCAAGGCTATTGTGGTTTCCTCAAAAATCATGATTAAGCAAGACTCACATAAACCAGGTAATTAACTGTTGCTCAGATTAGTTTAGTTCTTCCTTACAAGGTTGGTTGCCAAGCAGAGAAAGTGCTTGTTAGATTGAAGAGGTCTTAACTTTCTCCTTACAAACGAATTGTCACTTAAGTTCAAATCCAAGTTCTTATTTGCCTTGGAATAAACAAGATACTCATATAGAAATAGAATTCCAGGAAAAATTGCTAATTAGGCAGAAAAACATAGTTATAAAAATGATGACCTAACAACTTTCTAGCAGCTGAGCCAGATCTGAATAATCTTTTGTAGCTTTGTCTGAGAATTATTCTCAGTAATAATATTTTCAATGCCAATGGATATCCTAGTGTTTCTTTTTTGCTTTATTTTATTAAAACCGAATGCACACAGACATATGTGCAAGAAAAGGGGGGAAAAGCAGGGATATTTTGCCATGTTGCTGTTAAAGGCTCTGCAATTAAAAATTCTGCATACACAATGAAAGACAGAACCAAGCTTTCCTGTGAAACAATGATCCCTGATGTTTCCAGGTTTTGTGAATTTACCCTGGAAGAAATATATTTGCCCTCATCACATTAAATTTCCTGTTAAATGTTTTTTATTTCAATATCCTGCACTCTGGGTAATAACCATCTGTTTCTTTCATATGGTCTGGCCAACATGATCAATATAGGGATTTACCTCTTTTAATGAAGGGCCAAAACAAAGATTTTAGAGAAGTTTGACTTATTGGACTGAAGTGATTCTGCACTATCATATTCATGTGAGAATGTCTATGCACATCCTTACCTTTCCCATTCCTGCATGAGCATGTCCTAGCTTGATGACCATTGGAAAAACTGGAGTTGTGAGCTGAAAGAGGAAAGGAATTGTTATCAAAGTAGAACATGAAAGATGGTTTCAGTGTTGTGATTTCAGTCTGGATCTATTCAACAGATCCTGAAAGCATTTGGTTATCATATGATCAAAAGAAAATATGTCTGATAGTCCTATGGAAAATGAAGCTTTCAACAAGCACTTCCCAACAACTTTTGTAAGTATCTGCTGGAGAACAAAGACTAGATGTGTGGCAGATGCACATGAGTGCACATGAATGGCTTTTTTTCCTTTCCTTTCACGGAGTTCTTCAGATGTGCAGACTTTTTAAGCAGCTGCCATACACTCTGCTCAGATATTGGTGGAAGTTATTTGGGGATCTAAAAATATGTTAAGTTTGCGATCACCAACTGTCATGTACAAGTCTTCCAACTTCTATTTGAGCCATTATATTTATTTTTTGTTAAATTTGGCATGTCACCCTTCAAAAGCAGATTGTTCCAGGAGACTTCATAACAAATAGAAATTGCAACATAAAAATGTAAGAACAGTTTGCATTACTATAAAACAATAAAAACATATTCATTTAAACAGCTTTAACAGCATTTTTGTTTGAAATTAGCACATGACTTTATTCAGAGCACACAAATTAAAAATGTACTTTAAGATGCTGAAAGGCAGTAAAAGGGAATACATGCTGGGAAAAGACAAAACAGAGTTAGAGGACTATCACTGAAAAAGTTGTTTTGGATAGCCACTGATGTCATCAACAAGGAAAGGCTCCAATATCAAGGCTCTGAAGGTATTAGTGTACATGTAAGAACTTAGTGAAATTAATGTATTTATCCAACCAATATATATGGTTACCCATCTGTTCAAAAAAAAAAAAACTTTAGTAATGAACAAAATAAATAAAGTAAAATAAAAACCAAATAAAACACCATCAAGGCTTAGTGAAGGCACAATCAGGTACACCTGTACTAGAGCCACTCCCCCCCACCTGCCCCCAAATGAACATTTTAGACTAAATGCCTAAGGGGAAAACCAGGTAGGTCCTTGTGAGAAGCTAATAGAGTTGGGACTGTCTGTGGAAAGGAAGCTATTCCATAGGGCAGGTAATATGACAGAAAAGGAACGTTTCCTGAGACTTACCAGTTGACATTGTTTCATCAAAGGTCCCTGGACAAGGCCCATTCTGCCAAATCTGGTAGGGTGGTGAATGCCCCTGGGGATTAATTTGGTCCCATGCCATGAGGGCTTTAAAGGTGACAGCCAGCAATTGGAATAGTACTTCGAAGCTCACTGGCAGCCAGTGTAGGTCTCCTAGCAGTGGTGTTATACAGATGCGCTGCAGTGTGCTCAATCTGCATATGCTGTGGCACTCCGGACAACCTGAAGTTTCCAGATGCTCTTCAAGGACAGCCTCATATAGAACACGTTGCAATTGTGATTAGTGCCTCCTGATGTTGAAATGGGCACAACTGGTACACAGGGAATTAAAGTACAAGCTCTCCTGGCCCTGGCTGCTACCTGCTCCTTCAACAGAAACTATGCATCCAAGAGAACCCCCGATTTCAGATACTTTAGTTTGTACCTGTGAAAGTCTTTATAAGTTAATACCACCTCCTTGAACTGGGATCAGAGATGAACAGGAAAGTTCTTATAAAACTAGTTTAACGTGTGTATAATGCTTATTTCTACTCTTTACACTTTTATTTTATTATTAACTGAAGTATGTGGGTACCTTTCAAGGGCAATCCCACATGTACTGTAAATACTTTAAAGTAAACGAAATGTGTTGTTGCTAGGACACTAATTAGTGTACAAGGTTATCTCTGTCCGAAAAGAATGATAACAGGCAGATCAGTATATTGTGGTAAAAGGCACTCTGTGTCACAGTAGGCCTCTAATGACCATGAAAGCTCTAGAAGCTATAAACATAATTATTCAGAGGCTTGCTGAATGCCACTCTGCTGGACAGATAAGCCTTCCACTAACTGTATTCCAGGCTCATTTGGAGTGAGCTGCAGTTTGTTGGCCCTCACCCAGTCCATAATGTTGATTCAACACTTTCACTGCCAGTACTACATCTGATGAAAAGAGGCAGAGCTGGATGTCACTAGCATATTGATGATGCTTTATTCTAAATCTTAATGTGATCTCATGCAAAGGCTTCATATAAATGATAAATAGCCTCAGGAATAAAACAGAACTTTGGAACCTCTCCTGTAACCTGTTGAGGATCTTTTCCTCCTTTGTAAGGTTATTAGTTTTGGACTTCATGGTAGCCCTCACTTTCTGTAATACCTTAGCCTAAGAAATATGAATAACACCAATCATCCTTGCTTTTAGGAAAAGTTAATCACAGCAATTCTAGCAAGCTTTTATCCTAAAAACTGTTTGGAGAATTATAATAGTTAACTGACTGCCATTGTTATTTGTGGATCATTTTGTTTTTATTGCATTGTATGCTGCATAGTGCCCATAGTCTGTAAGGGCTGGAGCAGCTTATAAATATTTTTACAAAAATAAATAAGATTGGAGCTGCTAAAATTCCTGAAACTTTGTTTTCCTTTGAAGCTGACCACCATGATGGGAAAAGTATAAATATTAAAATTTAGTACTTTTGATTCATCAAATACAGTGATGCAAATTATGTTTAGTTTTAAAAACCAATAAAATATATTATTCCTGTTCAATCATTAATTTGCTCTTTAAAGAGAAACCTGGTAAGATCTAAATATAGAATGGAGAATGTTATCCCCATCTGTGGCAATTCTATATATAAGAAATTATTCTTCACTGAAGCTCTCTGTTCCATTATGTTGATTAGTAAGAAAGGTTGCAAGGTGGCAAACTTCCAATATCTTACTTTATTCTTGAAATTAAGCATACCTCATAGTGCAGAATTCCAAATTCCCATAATCATGAAGACCACATGAGGACTAGTTCTTTGGGAAGGTGAAAAAGCAAGGTTATCATAGTCACGGCCAGGGACTGGACCTGGTCTCCTCAGCAATATTGCCACTACCACTCTTGTTTGATATAGCTTTAGAATGGGAAACATGGCTTTGCATCCAGGCTGGCTAAACTGAGGGGTGGTTGCACACTTAGCCCCACAGTAAGGAAATGTCAGAGGTAGGGCCAAGTTGGGACCTGTTTCTCTCATCGCTAATGTTTTTGCTGACAATTCTTCCTGGTTATGAGACTCATATGACTCATATATGAATCTCATACATTTCATGTGAGAGATTCACGTGACGTCAGGGGTGGGATGCTACCGGTTCGGCCCAGTTCTATAGAACTGGTAGCTCTGAAGAGCAGCAGACACCAAACCGGTTCAGTGCAATGACCTTTTGGTCGTCTGTTTGGCCCACCTTCCCGCCCGCCTGGGCTCTTGGCTGACCTTTATTTCCTGCTTTTTCAACCTCAGCTGCTTTGCGCACACAGCTGAGGTTGAAAAGGCAGGAAAGAAGAGGATTTTCAAATACTGCGCACCTGCGCACAGTGCTTGTCAGCTATCTGGGTGGCACAGCTGATTTTTTTTTGCAATTGTTTTACATGGGTGCACAGTGTGCATCAGGCAAAACGCACTCTGACCGAACCGGTATTAATACCAGTTGAATCCCACCCCTGCGTGATATGGGTCACATTCTTGGATTGTCTTGCCTGAGCTGAATTTTTTTACCCTAAAGCTAGAGCAAGGAGGAATTGCAGCAATGGTTACAGTGATTATAAAGCAAACTATCTCTGACCTAAACTGTGAAGGCAAGGTCTGCACAAAATGACCCAGAGATTTGTATGCAGCCTATGGCTGCGAATCCAAGACTCCTATTTTAGATGGCTACATACAGTATAAGATCCAACTCTGATTGTACATCTTTAGCCATAATAGTTTGATGAGAATTACATTACAAAGAATGTGCCCATAAAAGAATAGCAGTAAGTAGTTTAAGCATACTACTTTTATTTTTTTGTATATATTTAAAAATAATTTTAAGTTGCAGTGTTGGAAAATATTTCTGGCCAATGTCTTAGAAGATCTACTAGAAGATTAGTAATTCTACCTGGATTGTTACCCTCAGTCTGGTATCCTTTATGTTTTTGGACTCCAGAACTTGTTCTTGCCACATTAACTAGGGATCCTCAGATTTACTAAGATGCCGGAGTAGATGAACAAATGATCTGACTTAGTACAAGACAATTTCATACACAGCGGTGATTAGAATAGGAACATTTCCTATGATAGCTTCATTAGATTTCCTATTCCAAAAGACCAGGTGCTAAAATCTTGTGCAAGATCTCATACAAGAATGTCAAAGCCTTGTTAAAATTTCTGAAAATATTATTTATTTACAAGATGTCAGAGCAAATTTGGGATCTGATGGCTTTCCTGGCAACTCCAACAGCTTCTCAGGTTTGCTGTGGGAGTATAATATATCATATAAAATATTTTGAACATTTTAATATACCGCAGGTAGTTCTTGATATATGACACTTCTTTTGGTGACTGTTCAAAGTTAGAGCAGCATTGAAAAAGTCACTTTTGACTGATTTCACACTTACCACTGTTGCAGCATTCCCATGGTCATATGATCAAAATTCAGATGCTTGGCAACTGACTCAGTTGCAGTGTCCCAGGGTCATATGATCAAATTTGACCTTCTCACAAGCAAAGTCAATGGGGAAGCCAGATTTATTTAACAATTGTGTTGCTAACTTAACCACTGCAGAGATTCCCTTAAAAACTATGGCAAGAAAGGTCATTAACAAATGTCTCACTTAGCAATAGAAAGTTTGGGCTCAATTGTGGTTGTAAGTCGAGGACTATTAGTTTTTGCATATCCATGAAACATTATTATTATTATTTCATTTTCATTTGACTTCTCATTACACACAACTCACTACAGCACAAATAAATGTAGCTTAGAAGGACACTAAATGTCTATTTAAGCACCACACCGCATTCTAAAGAAGAGATTTGTCATATGTCAAGCCACTGAAAAGAAAACATTTAAACGAATAATGAATGCTAT